TTCAAAGTATGCTGACCTCTAAAAGATGATTTGTCACAGGATTCCAGAGAATCTCCACACGGTCCAAGTTGACTCTTCCTGTCTCCAATAACTTTGCAACAGCAAAAAGTGATGGTTCCTAAAAAAGAAGAATGTTATTGATGGAGTACTTTTTTATTATAACACTATCCATAGGAGACATGGAGTACAATGCCTTATAGTGAGGCTTCCTTATAAGTATGGTACTCCCTCATTATAATGCTATCCATGGAAGCCTTAGACTGTACCACTTACAGTGAGACTGCCTTAAAAGACATACAGTATTCTTTCATTATAATGCCATCCATGGAAGTCACAGAATATACTGGCTTATAGTGAGACCACCTTATTTGGAAGTAAAGAACTCTCATAATGATGAATATGGGAGCCAGTGTATACTACCTTATCATGAGAGCACCTAATAATGAAGTATAGTACTCCCTTTTTAAAACACTACCTATGAGAGCCATAAAGCATACTGCATTTTTGTGAGACTGCCTTATAAGCAAGGTATTTTCATAATAATGCTGTTCAAGTTAGCCACATAGTATACTGCCTTATAGTAAATAACAATATTCCCTCATTATTACATACAACTCATTAAAACACTGTCCATATAAGCCAGAGTATACTGCCTTATAATGAAGTACATGTACATTATTCCTTCATTATAATGCCATCAATGTGAGTCTGAAATACTGCCTTATAATGAAGTATAACATTATCCATGCAAGCCAGATTATAATGCATTATAAAGACATACATTATTCCCTCATAAATAACACTATCCACAGAAGTAATATACTTGTTCATAGTGAGACCTCCTGATAATTGGGTATAAAATACCCTATTCCCCAGCAGTGAAACCACTCTGTATTAAGTACAAGATTACAATGCTGTCAATCAAAGCCATAAAGAATAAGGAATTTGATACCACTTACTAAAATGGAATAAATTACCATATTCACCCTATAAATCAAAAAGCGTTTTTATTGAAGGGCATTCTATTGAAGAAATGTTGTAATTTTCTTTTCTTCTGATATTTTAATTCCTAAGATTATAAGGTACAAAAGAAAAATATGTGATACTTCAAAAAAAGTCTTTGAAGTTTCATTTCAACATTATTTCCTTTGGCAGGAGAAATTGTCCTAAATATTGCTAACATTCAGTGGGACTGGCAAGCTGCAGAGAAGGAATCTGCGCAAATGAAAAGACATGGGCACAAAAATGAAGAGTATCTGGGCAAGAGAAATAATGTTACACTGTTTAAAGTATAAATAAAAAAAACATACAAAGCTTTATTTTCCAGCAAGCTGCTTAATTTCTCAAATGACACAGGAACAAGAGCACTTTATCACTGAGATATCATGACATAACGGCTTACAGATAAAAAGATCGTGATTTCAACACTTTCTATCAAACGTAGGCCAAGACATAATTTTATGAACTGATATTGTGACTGATGATGGGAATATAACACAAATCAATGAAAGTCAGTTGCATCTCAGAAGGGGGTTGATGAAGAGGGTTTTTCTGATGACAGGAATCAAAGACAATTCCCCAATCTGTCAAAGTTTTGCTTGGAAAGGCGCATCACCATGTCTTTGATATATGCCTACAGAATAGACTTGATATTGAAGTGTTTAAACAGCAATTGAAAACAGGTTAAAGTGACCTACTTTTTGTACACAGGTATTTCATAATCCATGCGAAATCTTATGAAGCCAAAGTTAACACTGAAAGAGAAACTAGATAAGCTTGAATGCTGCTTCCACAAATTATTGTGACAAATATGCCTAATATTTTTATACCACCCACTGACCTCAATTCAGACCATGATGCCAAAGACTGTATTACAAAATGTGCAACATGAAAAATGGGTTCTAAATTTTCTTTTATCCAGTGATTTTTTTTTTCTTCAATATCAGTGGATTTCATTCTTTTGCACAAACACAACAAAACACCAATTTTAAAATGTTATCAACATTGATCTTTCCTTTGTCAGTGGCAATATATATATATATATATATATATGTGTGTGTGTGTGTGTGTGTGTGTGTGTGTGAATATATATATATTATTTATATTTATGTATATATATATATATATATATATATATATATATATATATATATATATATATATATGTATATATAGAATATATCTATAGTATGTATGCTGTATCAATGATATACCATGAGATGTATAAATTTTTCATTAAAAGGAAATGAAGCTTATTGAGGTTCCTTTTAATGAAACATTTATAAAACAGTGGTATATCATTGATACAGCGCACATGCTGTAGATATTTTTTATTTATATCACATACAAATAAATATATTTGACCTTTGAATGAAGATTAGATTTACTACAGACAGCCATGTATTGACCTAGTGAATGAACTCCTCACATCCCTGTGTCCACTACAAAATGTAGTTCTCTGCCATAGTAGAAATTTACAATCACCTCTGTATATTGATAAGTTGACTGGTTTCTTTTCTTGGTTTCTATTTTTCTAGCATTGATTAAATGATTATAATACACACTTATGATTTAAACATGAAAGATGGTTTTAATAATAAAAGTAGAGCAGTAGCAACACTTGGATATGTACACCATTCAAATGAATGCAGTGCCATTCACCTTCATGGAAATTAATTTGGAATAGAAACTAAGCCTAATGACAAACCAACAATTAAAATATTTTAATATATTTACACTTGATCGAAGTCATTATTCTGCTTTAGCAGCATTACAAGCGACCCACAAACTAACACACACTCTCTCTCTCTACAGCATCTAACCAGGATTGTATCAAACAATGTGACATCATATGCATTGGACATTCTGTCTTGAAAAAATGATTTTGTCTGTGTAAAATGTTCTGTTTATTTGGAAGGATATTTGTTCTTTGATTAATAAAAACTATGTAATCAACTTTTAAACTTTAATACTTGCTGAACTTTGTTTGGGACTATTTTTTAAACATAACAAATGAAAGGTGTAGAATCTCAGTCAGAATGAAAAAAATTATTTGTTCTCTTTTCTCTCTATATAATTTATACTCAAGTAGAAACTATGTAATCAACTTTTAAACTTTAATAATTGTTTAACTTCGTTTGGGAATATCTTTAACACACAACAAATGAAAGGTGCAGAATCTCAGTCAGAATGAAAAAAAATATGTTTTCCTTTCTCTCTAAATAATTTCCACTGAAGCAAAAGCTATGTGATAAAAAGAATGTCAAATGGGTAATGATTTAATATTAATATGTATGAAACCATGGCTGTAACAAGCTGGACATTATTCAAAAAAAGTTTTATAAATTCATAGCTACCCATTTTAGATCCTCTATATACTCTGGTTTGGGAGTTTCAGTGTGTGTGTGTATGTATGTATATATATATATATATATATATATATATATATATATATATATATATATATATATATATATATATATATATATATATATATATATTGCTTACTGCATTACAATCCATTTATCCAAAATAAATCCAAAACCACTGACATATCAAAATAAATAACTTGTATGATTGCTTATTATATATTTGTTTTGGAGCTATTTTAAAACATTTTTATTGCCACTTGAAGGAACATTACAAAATCTTTGTTTAGGCTCTATTGATTGGAGCACTGTATTCTTAATAATAATTGACAAAGCGTGTGTGTGATTTGGATTTTTAATGCAACTTTATCAATTTTCCAGTCATATGCTACATTGTCTGCAGTATATAGCTACAATATATAGTATATAGCTACAATATCTGCAGTGTGGCAGTTTATAGTGATATCTAGAACTGAGGCATCATGTCGAAAACATGTAGTATGATGTTCTACCCTGCCACATTATATTCACACCAGTCTGACCAGTCTTAACACTAAACTCTTAATGCTGTTAGTACCAATATTATAAGTCTCTGGTATGACTCGGCTAGGGCTATAGAACTTGCAACCTTCTACATCAGATGCGGATGCTCTAACCACTAGGGCCATTGGAGTAGTACAATGGATGAAGATTTTCCAAGCAAATATAGAAAATCCTTATCCCGTCTCACATGACCTTTTAGAAGTATTTTGATGATCAGTTTTGACCTTTCACTTCAAACATAATGCAAACATGCATCCAACACCCTCTAATTTTCATCATCACATGTGTACTCTTTCATAATAATCAAAACCAACATTAATTGTAACAATGTACTAGATTGAGCAGCAGGTATCCATAAAACAGGATGTTTCACACAGATTAACTTTGGAACATAAATAGCTTGTGTGGTCCGATATAAAGTTGAACCAGCTGTTGTTGCTATTTCTTAAAAAATGTCATATTCTTATTATTAATGAAATGCAAATTAATTCTAGATCAAAGCTTAATCATGGACTAAATCAATATTTTTTGTCTGACTCAATTATTCTTATGTGTTCACATCTGTATAAATACAAGTTATCTGTAGTAAAAAAAATTAAAACCCTATGTACTGCCATTACCAAAATCATCTCAACAACAGTTCTATAAATGCTAAAATACATTTAAACATCATGTAAAGTTTATACTGATTATTTCAATGCAAATGTAATATTTTATGCTGATTAAAATTTCAGTTAGTGTTCTTTTATTGGGTGTTTATTTCAGTGGAAGTTTTGTTTTAATTGGTGTTTTTTCAGTATCTTTTTTTCAGTGGGTGTTTTGCTATTTATAGCTACCTCTGCATTAACAATAGCCTATTTCAACTTCAACCCTCATTTTCCTTCATTACGCATAGGATCTTTGGGATCAGAATTTTTTTATCAAGGACTGGACAAAACCTTGTTTCCTATACAAAATTCTGACATTAAGATGGAATTTTCCAACCCTACAATCATGCCTCCTGTACAAAATATGTTTAAACTCTTATGGTAATTCAACAGTCATATGCATTTTCAGCATGCACCGAGTCTGGTTCAGTGAAGTACAACCGCTCTGGTGGTCAAGAGGTTAGAGCATCTGCCTTGGATGCGGGAGGTCGTGGGTTCGATCCCCAGTCAAATCATAATAAAGACTTACAAAAATGGTACTAACAGCTGCCTTGCTTGGCGCTCAGCATTAAGAGGCTAGTGTTAGGACTGGATGGCCTTGTGTCGGATAATGTGACTGGGTAGGACATCATGCTACATGTCTTTGGCATGATGCCCCAGTGCTAGACATCACTATAAACTGCCACAGATATGACTGAAAAATTGTTAAAGCTATGTTAAAAATTATAATCACATCAGGGAAGTGTGTATTGCCTGAATTACAAAATAATCCCAGGCATGATTCATTCAATCCATTTTTCCCAGTTAAAATACAGGCATACAGCAACATGCATAAAAAGTATACCAACAGAAATAAGTACAAGCCCCAACAATCATATAAAAAGTTGTCATAGAGATGAATCAAAGACAGTATTGTCAGACATTTAACATTCATCCCTAAAACTTAAATGAAGTAGGTTCCAAAGGGTGGGGGGTCAGTGAATGAGACCCAAAAACATGAGTCCCTTGTAAGGACTGATTCAATAGTGATCATAGAGCTTTTCCATCAGATCATTTCTTCCTTTTAACTGCAGAGTGTTGAAATCAACTCTGATATTCTTCAGCAATGACAAGATTTTCAAAATTAACCAATGTTGTGGACATATTGGATGTCAGATTGGCACTTATTTTCATATAGAACAAAGCAGACATTGTTAATTGTTACAAGTCTTTTGGTCAAGACCCCAAGTCATAATGGTCATCCATTTGGACCAAGAAGTGACCACAAGATTTTCAAAACTGCCATCAAAGCAGTAATACTGGATGTATGATTGACACAATTTTCATTTAAGACCAACATGGTATCATGAGAAGTCTATTCTTGAAACATCATGTATATATATATTAATCTATTTGGGCAAAGAGATAACAATATTTGGGATTAAATGATACTGTTGCCCTAAGATTTTACTGACTGTGCTAGGTTCATCTCAGCATTAGACTCCTTTGCAACCTGTATTCTGGGTTAAACACAGATCAAGCAGAATCTGTGCTGGGGCTAATTCCAGCAAAAGAGTGTATTCTGGGCTGATCCCGTCGTAAGTAGATTCTGTGCTATGTTGATCCCAGCATTAGATTGTATTATGTGCTGATCCTAGATTAAATACAACATGTGCCTTGTTGAGTGTATTCTGGGTTGATTCAAGATTAAGCAGAATCTGTGTGAGGCTGATCCCAGCATCAGAGTGCATTATGAGCCAATCCCAGATTAAATACAATCTATGCTAGACTGATCAGTGCTAGACTGATCCCAGCATTAGAGTGTATTCTGAACTGATCCCAGATTATGAAGAATCTGTGTTTGGCTGATCCCAGCAATAGAGTACATACTGGTAAATGCTAGCACAATTCTATTTAATCTTGAATCAACCCGAAGATATTTGGATCAGCCTGTTGCATATTTTACTTGTCCTTTCATTCATACAGCTAAAAGCACAGACCCTGATCTGATGATGAATAAATAATGGCAGATCAGGGTCAATACTATTCACTTGGAATAATTCATACAGCTAAAACACAAACCCTGATCTGCTGATGATTATATAATGGCAGATCAGGGTCAATACTATTCACTTGGAATCATTCATACAGCTAAAACACAGACCCTGATCTGATGATGAATAAATAATGACAGATCAAGGTCAATACTATTCACTTGGAATCATTCATACAGCTAAAACATAGACCCTGATCTGATGATGATTATATAATGGCAGATCAGGGTCAATACTATTCACTTGGAATCATTAATACAGCTAAAACACAAACCCTGATCTGATGATGAATAAATAATGACAGATCATGGTCAATACTATTCACTTGGAATCATTCATACAGCTAAAAGCAAAGACCCTGATCTGATGATGAATAAAAAATGGCATATCGGGGTCAATACTATTCACTTGTAATCGTTCATACAGCTAAAACACAGACCCTAACTTGCCAGTACAATTTTGTAACAACAGATCTTGTAATGCAATGTATTGGCCCATAATGTAAACTGCAATGCAGATCTAGATGTATTGTGCTTGTGAATGTGACTATGTTACAATTTGTTTAGCAAAGCAAGGCAAATGAAACATAACAAATATAAAAGAGAAGTCAATAAAACCATAGTTCCAAGTTTCATTACACCTTACCAATCTATGTAATCTAAAGAAAATTGCTTGGATGTAATTTTGTCATAAAAAATGGAGTCAATTTCAGACAATACACAAATCATGATCTTGTTTATTCCTGAACAATATTTCTTTTTTAAAAGTCATAAAATAACTGTCATAGATGCTAGGTTCCAAACTAAAAGACATTAATCTGTGTAACTTAGCTCCAATCTGTTGATGAGAAAAACAATAAAACATCAAATAATTTCACACTAGTTATATTGAGGTTTCACTTGCCCAGATTAATGGAATGTCCCTGGACCTACAATTTATTCATTACTTCAAGTACTTGCTTATAAGTCTAGTCAAACTGCAAACAATAAAGATCCTGATCTGCCATATTATAATGAGCCTAGAGATTGCTCCTAACAAACCACACAGATGCAGATCTGCTAGTGTATTATGAGATGGCAGTGCTGAAACTGCAGTTTGCAGTTGGTCTCACCTTATTAAATGACTACACAGTATTATTACCATACTCTGCTACCAAAACACTGTTCATGGAATCAATCAAAGTGCAATGCCTTATGTGGGGTCATTTTATACTGAGGTATTTTATAAATAAAATGAAACACACCTGCCTAATAAAGGGGACTGCTTTATACTGAGGTACGTTCCACTAAGAGAACATGTTTTTGCATTTTTAACATAGTTTTAACAATTTTAGTCATACTGATCAACAGTCATGCCATATTTTACAATCTAAATCAATGAGACGCTTTGCCTGAATAGCATGGCTCATGAGCTGTACTTATTATCAGTAAACATCTATGTGAATGTGTATGTGTGTGTGTGTACACACATCAGTGAATGTGACAAATATTGAAAGATGTTTGTTGTTGTTCAATTCATATAAAATTAAAACTGATTCTTTTAATGAAATCAAATTTTCTCCTCATAAAGCTACATTAGCATTTGCAAAATTGAGGTTAATCCTATAGACTGTACTTTGCACCACAGAATAACCTTCCTAATGACAGTTGTTGAGGTAGTTAGTCCATTCAATATCAAAATATTCCACCAACAGACATCATGCTCATTGCAAAATACTAAAAAAAATTGATTCTTTATTCAGTGTTTATTACGAAAGTGGAAAACTTCTGTTCATTTTGATTTTACTTTCCAAAAATAAAGTTAAATGAATACAAAGGGATATAATTCATTTGATAAAATATAAATAAAAAAAAAATAAAAATATAAAATCAAAAATATATTCATTAACAATCACACCATTTGTACTAAAATATAATAATCTTTATATATGTTTCCTGGAATTATCCATTAAATGTTCATAAAATGTTTAAGAACTAATTTTCCAGAACAAGTGTTGAAAATGGTTCTTCAAAATTTGGCCATTAAATGTTCTTGAACTGTTTGTGAAACATTCATATACATTTTATGAAATGCTCATGAGAAGTGTTCTAGAACAGTTCATGGATGTTTCAAATATTTTTCATGACATTTTTACACGGAAATTATTCTGTGTATGTAAAAATTAGATTTCAAGCTGGCATCCAATTCAACCATTTTATGAAGTCTTTTCAACTTCACTTTGTCTACACAATCATCTACAGAAAATGAGAATAAATGAGATTTTCAAGATGACAGCCATGGCAGAAATCCGGACTACCAGTTGGGCATCATTTTCATCTGGGACCATGTAAACATCACTCAAAACCCTATAGTTAAATTTCCATGTCAATGTGATCATCTTTTGAGCAGGTGTAGCATTAAAAATATTTTTGCTATGGCCACCACGGCTACAAAAATGGGGGTCAGATAAACATATTTATTTAGAACCAACAAGATATCATAGAAAGTCTTTAAATAATACCTCAGATCCATCTGCCATTTTTGTTCAAGATCCAGTTTTAACAAGACGTTTAAAATAGCCACCATGGTAGTCATGTTGGGCATCATTTTCAGAACCATGTATACTTAATAAGAAGTCTTTAGTTGAATCTCAATGTCATTATGACCATTCACAATGACAAGATCTGCACAATGGCCACTGTGCAAGAGTATTAGTTTTTCTTTAGGACAAACTAGATATGTGTATCAAAAGAAACTATGAAATTCCTTTCAGCACTACCATTTGTCCAAGAGAAGTACATGTAGTAAAAACAGGATTTACAAGATAGCTACCATCCTGCCCTATTGTACATTAGTTTGGCACCATTTTTTGTATGCCCATCTACATAAGAATCTTTTTTACCTGTGGTGTCTACAATGTGGCAGCAATATGCCTGCAATATGACAGCAATATGACAATCTATTCAGAGGATTTTAAAGATGACAACTGTAGCAGAAATATTTTTTTCAAATCTCAGAGGTGCACCCATTTATTTCTCCTCGGACAAATAAGACCCTGTAATGACTATATGAGTCAAGTTTCTTTCTAAGTATTTTTGGAAGAGTAGCCATAGCAGGCATACAGATGACTGATGGATGACTGATGGATGACTGATGGATGACTGATGGATGACTGATGGATGACAGATGGATGACAGATGGATGACTGATGGATGACTGATGGATGACTGATGGATGACTGATGGATGACTGATGGATGACTGATGGATGACTGATGGATGACTGATGGATGACAGATGGATGACTGATAGATGACAAATGAATGACTGGTGGATGACAGCCAATAATAAGCTATTCTAATTACTGACCAGTAAGCTGAAAAGTAACCTAATTACTAAATTAACATAACCTAATTTTGGTTTATGTTTTATTTGCTTCTGATATTTCCATAGGTCTCTGTTTAAAGAGTATGTACTGCAAAATAATATATTGCAGATATAAAC